ATTGCTTTAATTATTCAACCTTGATTGTATTTTTAATATCATTACATTGACTGTCATTATCTTTATCTCTGAGAACAGCAAAATTATTCTTTTCTTTGAGGATTTGTCGAATGATTGAAATGTCAGGATGTGCACGTAGTCGAGTGTAAATTAGCTTGGTCATCTGAATCGTTATGTAGTAGTTTCACGTACAGTGTCCTGTAAAAATATTGCCTGGTGTCTTATCTTTTTAATAGTTTTTTTTTTAGACTAATTATGTATTAACCTGTTTGGGCGGGATGTGTTGGAGTTGGTAGTGGTTTGTAATAACAGAATGTTACATGTTTATTTTGCACTTTGTAAATATGTCAGACATAGTATACATGGCAAATGGCCAATTATGGTATGCAAATTAGGTTGTCAATACAAAGAGGCTTTCAGGAGAGTGCAGTGGTCTAGTTTCGCTACTCCAATCGGTAAAAAAGCTGCCAGTGTTTACAAAAAAAGTTGTGACAGTGCAACTGTTTGCGGTTTTATGAGTACTCCCGTTTGCTTGAATATGCTCTATAATGATTACCACACTTTTTTTCTGAAAAAAAACAAGAAGGAGCACTGCAATTCAGCGGCGTCACCAAGTGGGGTAGATAAGGTTCTCCCTACCAGGGTGTGGATTTTTTGATAATTCTAAGTTAAAATGGAACATTCTATGACTTCCTTGGGGCCAAAAATACTATCAGACGGATCACAGTTGAAGACTGTGGTCACATGTGATCCCTGGTCAATCAGAATTTTATGTTTTCTCCCTGCTTTGCAGGTTAAGTGGGCGCATGCCCATAGCATAAGGGCGCTGCCCCACTGTTTCCTTGTTTAAAAAAATCCTAGAATAACCCATGGGTTACTTAACCTTTTCCCACCTTACCCTATCCCCTATATTATTGTTCACAGGTTCTTAATCCCCACCCCCTGAGTGAGAAAAAAAATCATGAGAAAATGCCAGACAATTTCAAGTATCTCTGAACACCGCTATCCAGAAATTAGCCCCACAGTTTTATTGTACATGTTCACATAGATTTAATTTATTGGATTTTCCTCATCAGTGAAAATGGCGAAATTAAAACCCAGTGAATTTAATGCATTTGCAGTACTCAGTGGGAGTGTCAGA